AGCCAGGATTCGCTGGCTGGGGAATTCTGGGAGTTGAAGTCCGGACATCTTCAAGTTGCCAAGGTTGAGAAACACTGTACTAGGCTGTAACCCTTGCAAATCACCACAACTGGGTTCATAGAAATACCAAATGACAACAAAGTGAAGGGGTCTCAAGTCTGGAATAGTTGAGATGCTTTTAGGGGGAATTTCTTTTTTTAAAAAATTGCAAAGATCACTGTAAAGGACAATTGTGTCTGGAATTGTAAATTTTACCTATGTGTTGTTAACAGCTTTACAAAACATTGTAAACACTGAGCAGATCAGTTCATAATTTGCAATAATTTATGTCAAAGTTGTGTAAAAATGGATGACAGGCTCTTTGGTAAACAACTGTATCATAATTAGAGTGTTCATGTAAATTAAATCATAAACCATCTTTTAAAACTGTTCCATTCTGTTGACAGGAAATGTGCTCTCAGTGGACAAAGTAAATCCTGCAAGCATCGAATCAAGCTGGGGGACTCGGGAAACTACTATTATATTTCTCCTTTCTGTAGGTATAGGGTAAGTGTCGAGCTCTAAATCACGGTTTGTATATTTGGATCAGGCAGGTAATTGAACATGTGGCATTCTAATTCTTTATCCCCCTTCTTTTGTACAGATCACATCAGTGTGTAATTTCTTCACATACATTCGATATATTCAGCAGGGGCTTGTGAAACAGCAGGATGGTAAGTTAAGAATAAGGCCTACTGTAAGAAAGTTGTTTTATTTCTTAGCAGGGCTGCTATGTTTTTGCAGCAGGTTGCAGATTTTCAAAAGTGTATTTTTGCTATATAAACCAAGAACTTGGGGAAGTTGTAATGCTCCTACAACCTCTGGAACTGTGTCTAAACCCTCCTACTTTGCTGCTTTTTTATGTTCCCATATGGCATAAGTTAGGAAGAGGAATTTATCTTTCATAATTAAGCTAACAATCATCTGTACAAATTTCAGAGGGACAATATGTCATAAAGCTTTTAATTTCTAGACAATCAGTAGGCTTCATATAAATATATCAACAGATTTTTGTGACAGATTGTCTGTATCAAGGGAAGGTGGGGGAAGAAAAATAGAAAACTATGTTTCATTCTTCTAAACTGGGAATACACCAGTTTTCCTATTCTCTTAGTTCTTTTGTAAATTTTCCATATCTGCACTACACTTGGGGATTAAACTACATAAATTATTTAAAAGTTAGATTCAAGCATGCAAACTGATTTTATTTTATACTGGTAAAACATTTTTAAAGATGTAAGCATCATCAATGTACTGTCACTTAAAATCTATTTTGCATGGTCTCAGTATTTTTATATGAAAAATGTTGCGAGAGATTTGATATATTCATCCTTAAATCGTTAAATATCAGTTAAATACTCTGTCATAACCTTTTATATACACAGTATACACAGTTGTTAGTTCTAATTTTGTGTTAATGTTTTACCAAACTTTAAGACCTACAGTATTAGTGTAAAAAGTGGAAAATGTTATTTTGAAATTTAGATGTTTTTATCTCAGTCCTTGTAGGTGCATCTAAAAAAACCCCTAAATGATTGCACAATCCTAAAGTAAAGAAATATTTTTATATAAGTAAATAGTTTTAAGGCAGGAAAAATATAATTAACATAGTGCAGTTGGTAAAGATTGAGGTGTCATTAAATTTCACCCCAAAATCTTGAATTAGTTTGAAAGATGAATTGAATGATAGGCTATGTAATCAAAAGTGGTTAGACATAATGCTATCCTTAATATAAAATACATGGATTTTTTCCAACCAGCACCTCTCAGTATCTTATATTTAAATAGTACTTCTAGTATCTGAAAACTCAGATTTAACATTGCTAAATATCTTTGTTCGTTGGGAACTTTTAAAGAAGCATTTTTTTCCACAACATCTCCTTTTCTTTTGCACAGTGGACCAGATGTTCTGGGAAGTAATGCAACTGAGGAAAGAGATGTCGCTGGCAAAACTTGGCTATTACAGGGAGGAGCTGTAACTCCAGCATTTCTGGTGCCTGCATGAACTTCCATAACTGTACATATATTTGAGCCGGTTCTATATCTATGTCTATTTATTTTAAAATGGGTCCAAGATTATGTGCAAAATTGCACTACATACTCCTATAATTCAACAGAATAATTTTACACAAGAGATTAAAGCTGGCAAGGCAAGAGAATTTTCAGGTATACTTGTGACTATAACTTATGACTGAGAAATTCAGATGAAACACTGCTCAAGATTTATGTGCTTTTTTGTGTGTTCTAGAGAGTTTTTAATATAAAATTTCAGCTTAATAAAAGGTTAAATCGGAACTCCCTGGGTCTGAAACATTCTTTAAAAAAATGTGTGGTTGGTAAAATATATGAAAGAAAGTGATTATTTTTACCAAAAACCAGTAATCGAGGGCCTGAAATGATTCTGGATAAATGGTGATTAATTAGTGCAAGTGGGGTATAGCAAATGTTCATACTGAAGCATACATTTCCATTAAGAGCTGTTTGCAATAAAATGTGGAGATGAATTAAAAATAATATCAACTACTGCTGATTTATCTTCAGAAGTATTGAGTGTCTGTGATTGCTTTCATCTTCTGATTCTACTTAGCAAAATTATTTGAAGTATTTTTCTTTTCAGTCTACAATATTTGCTTTGTTGGGAAATCAAACAGAAACATAGTCTCTAAGGAACATGGGGCTGTTTTTTGTGATTAGAGAATGAATAGAAAGGAGTTCCTGCTGAAGAAAACAACATGGAAAAGGTTCATCAGCTTTGCCCTTGTCCCAAAGCAACGCTCCCACACCAATAGCCGCTGAATAGACATCAGGTACTGTCAGTACTGATGAGATCCCAAAGGACTCTGATTCTTATTGATTCATCACCTTTTCTTTTGTTTGAGCATGGCTAAAAATACTCTCAAATCATTAACTTCACTATTACTTCTCTTTCCAATACTGAAATTTAATCATACCTTTTCTATTTCTAGTTGAGGTTTATCTTCCACTTACTATGCATTACACAGGTTGCTACACTGAAGCAAATACTGGGATATTTAATCATTTCTTGGTCATTAGGCTCCATATTGCAAAATAAAAGCTACGGAGTTGACAGATTTTATCTGAATGGTAGCTCTCTGTATCTTGCAGTACTATAAACCAGTTTTTCTCAACATTTTTCTCTGAGAGATTCTTGAAATAATTTTCAGTCCTTAGGAGACCACTGGATAAAAATTGCAAAAAAATACAAAAACTGCACAATATAATACAATATAGTTTTACAACGTTTATACCAAGAACAACCATTGTGTTGCATATGAAGTTCCAAGACATTTTTTTAATCGTGCAAAGCCAGATTGCTGTAGTCCCTTTCTTTACCTTACCAGAAATGTTTTAGTTTTTTAATGCCTATGCTAGACAATTTTGCTATATTCAAGGTCTGTATTTTTCTGTTCCCCCTAGCTATGAATAGTATCTTGGGCCATGTGGAGCCACTTTTCTGGTTTTGGGGAATGCTGGTTTCTGTAGTTGAGCATTAAAATCATCGTCATGATATCTGAAAACTGCAGCTGATTCTCTGGGCATGTCATTAACAAGTTTCAGCTCTATTGTTCAGGTAGCGGCAACAACTGCATGTGCTGCTTTCCCAGCTCAGTATTGGAGTACTTTCTCACGCTCACACTCCTGTCACATATCTATGTACATAATATATCTACAGTTATGCTACTTGTAAACGTAAGAGGAAGGACTCCAGCAAAATATGCAACTTTTATTGCTTTCTTAGTTGCACATCAGTTGGAAAGTACCTTGAATCTGAGAGCAAAGGTCCTTAAAATGAGGAAAGAAGAAAAATCTGCTACTATTTGCCTGCCTGCAAAAAAGAAATAAGTCTATCTTTTCTCCTAAGAATAGATAGAATCTCTTAAGGCAAAAATGAACAAATTGATGCATGGGCACACTTGGCAAATTACTGAATTATTTGAGAATTAATCAGTATGCTTTTCCTGCAAGAGAAATAGGATGATAGAATGAGCAGTATATTTGAAGCTCACTGAAAACAATATGTCTAGTTGGATTGGGGCTTTTTGTTTTATTTTTGAGTGTGTGGAAACTCTTCTTTTGTGCCCATAGGTGTGATGGGTAAAAAATTGACATTAAGTATCTGAAGAAGGAATATTGAAGATGCTACTGTTTAATTTCTAATGTGATCCCTTTTTCCTATGTATCAAAAAATGGGTAAAATTGAACATTTTGGGATCTTATTGACATATTGAGCCAGTGATAGCAGGTGAGGTGACAAAAGTAATAGTTTATTTTTTTCTGCCTTAAACGCTATTGTTAATTTAAATATAATGAAAGATGGTATAAAAGCCTTTCATCAGTATGTTTTGAATTTTAAATAGACTGTGTTTCCTATAAAAATAAAATAAAAAAATGGCAAATCATATTTCACAATTTGATGGTTGGCATACCCAGCATTAAAAACATGAAAACAAACATCCACAAATTGAATACAAAGCAAAGGAGAAAGACAACAGAAAACAGAAAAGAGTAAATGTAGTTTAGGGTTGGACTGTGGAGTCCTTGATTCTGTCTGAACCTGGTTATGTGCTTGCAGACATTTCATTACATCAGTGTGCATCATCAGTGCAAATCATTAGCGCATTGGTGAGATGATGGAAGACTGCAAGCAAATAGCTAACCTCAAAGAGAATTGAAGACTCCAGAGACAACAGCAAAATCTTCAGAACTTAAAACCTACTAGTAGTGAAAGCATGGTTAGAGATATGATAACATGTCTTGCGAAATATATTCCAGAAGTGTCAGCTGAATCCAGCTGAGGGAGATTAATCTAAGGCCCACTATGAATTAAATTTCAAATAGACTTGAATCTTGGGATGGGTTAGCCATAATCTGCATGTTAATCTTGGATGCATCTTCAAACAATTTATTCAAGATCTGCATTTGTAAAATGCCGCATTTTTCGGAGTATGACACACCTATTTCCTTCAAAAAAGAGGCTGAAAATCTGGGTGCATCTTATACACTAAATACAGCATTTTTTGCCTCCCAAAACCCCACCCTCTTCACCAAAATGGCTTTGCAAAGCCTTTAAGAGGCTTTCTGAGTGCTCCTGGGGGCTGGGGAGGGCAGAAATGAGCAAAGAATGGGCCGTTTTTTGCTCATTTTTGCCCCCCCCCGGTCCCCAGAAGCACTCTATAAGCCTCCTAAAGGCTATCCATGCCCTTTTTTTGACAAAAACCGGGTAATTTTTGCTCATTTTTGGAGACCCCCCCAGGAGCACTCTACAAGCCTCCTAAAAGCTATTCATGCCCTGTTTTGGGGAAAAAATGGGCCCATTTTCATGAAAAGGGCTGTTTTTGGGAGGACTGCAGAGTGCAAAAACTTTTTTTTCAATTTGCCTCTTCAAACCTTGGTGCGCCTTATACTCCAGTGCATCTTATACTCCAAAAAATACAGTAACTATATAGAGTGTTATTTGATTTTATATTTAAAAACACAGCCATTCTTATAGAAGAACCCACAAGTATATTTTAGTGTATAGGCAGTCCTCGACTTAATCATTTGTTTAGTGACTGAAATTACAAGGACACTGAAAAAAGTGACTAATGACTGCAGGATCCAATGTGGGTGGGTCATCACGGCCAGAGGTTTAGTCTTCCAAGTTTTCAGACTCATGCTGGAGGCCATCCTCAGGGAATTTCTCTCTGTTGGAATATGTAGTTTGGGCTATTCTATGCTTCATATAAGGTACAACATAAATATGAAGCATAGAATAGCTCAAACACATATTCCGGTAGAGAAAAGTTCTCTGAGGATGGGTGCTAGTACGAGCCCGAAAGTTTGGAAGACTAAACCTCTTGTCTCAGTGACTGACCCAGATTGGGTCTTGTAACATTATCCTGAGATACACACATGTGCCTTCATTCGTGACTTATGATTATTTCTCACACTTACAACCATTGCAGCATCAAGGTGGTTACGTGATCAGAATTTGGGTGCTTGGCAACCGGTTCGTGTTTAACTCAGTTGCAGTGTCCCAGGTTCATGTGATCACCTTTTGTAGCCGCCTGACAAGCAGTCAATGGGAAAGCCAGATTCACTTAACAACTGTGTTACTAATTTAACAACTGCAGTGATTCACTTAACAACTGTGGCAATTAAGGTCATAAAATGGGGCAAAACTCGCTTAACAATTGTCTCGCTTAGCCACAAAAAATTTGGGCTCAATTGGGGTCATAAGTCGAGGGTTATCTGTACTTCACTATACTCAGAAGTTGGCAAGACTTTATAAAGTTAATTTCAATAAAATATTTATGGATGGAATGTGCTGATCTTAATCTTGCATAGTTGGAAGTTGACCAATGTCCCTGTGTGTATTTTTCTTTGAACTATTTTGTCCCCTTCAAGATGCAGCATTATGTTTTTCCATGTTTCAGTGAAATCCCAGAGGAAGACATCACAAAGGAATCCCTCCTTTATGTCTTTCTGGAAGGTTTAGGGTTCAAAATGATGAAAGATGCAAAAGAGAAAACAGCAAGGCCAGCAGTGGCATTCTTCCCCACCTTCAAAAATAAATGCCTCAGAAATGCCGCCAAAGAGGAAAATTCAGATGTCTTTAAAAAACTTTTGGAGGATGGTCTTTGGTAGCTGCAGGAGAAGGGAATTAAAGAAAAGGAATTTTCAATTTAAAAAAAAGCTAAATTGACTTACATTCCAGACTAACACCTCTAAGATGTTAGAAGTGCTAAACTGGACAAGCAAAGAGCTGTACTTATTGAATGACGAAGAAATAATTTGGAGCTCTGTTGATATCAATGCTGGTGACACTGATAACATTTTGATATCTCCATCAAATAACAGTAAATTCATTTGTCTCCAACAAAGCTTGTGATTAATATAAAAAAGACTGCCATCAAAAGTTCTGAGAAAGAATGCAAGTACACCAATCTAATTTATCATGAATCGATTGAATATCTTAACAGATATTTCCAGTCCTTGTTACACTAGCATCAGTTTTTTTAAAAAATGTATTCAACTGTGACCACACTAACATTGTTGCCAAATCACATTTTCATATCTTGAGATCTAAATTTTGGTCATGCCAGATTAGCGCCCTCATGCATCTCAAATCATGGACAGGAACAGAGAGGCTTTGTTACGGACCAACCTGGCATTCAATACCAGCAGCCAATGGAGTCCAGGGCCACATAAGGTCCTCTAACAGGACATTGGAGATGAGGTCGTGTTTTATATATCTTTGTTTTTTTCATAATACCCTAATTCTACAAAACAACAACAACAACCAGTTTGCTGTTTTAGTTATCTTAATAATTCTTAGGTCCTTGGTTAGTATCTGACTTATTAAGTTTTGACCACTTAGACAGTGGCATACTATAGCATACTCACACATAATTTTAACTGCACATTACTACATTCTTTTATAAACTAATCTCCAGTTTCTAGCTCTTTAGGTCATGATAGTAAAGTACTTGTTAATTTATGGAAAATTATTCTAAATCAAATAGTGACAAATCTGTGATTTACACCAAAACTATGTTGTCATGATAGCAGTGTGAGCAATCTTATAATAACATTCACCTGGCCTTCAATCAAATTACTGTTTTAAAAAAAAGATTTCGGCTGTGGATAATTTATAATTTTATTTGCTATACCATAAGGAAAAGTTGTAACTGATACTATTCAATAACAAATGGTGTACAAAAATCATAAGAGTTAAACTGGAGGAAGAAGATGAAATGTTATACTGCTGGGAACTTAAAAAAGTCTAATTGACACCAAACTCTTATAATTCTCAACATGTGGCAATTGAGTCTTGTTATCCATTACAATTGGAGTCGTTATCACAACCATTTGGAAGACACAATTGGAGAAGAGTACTTAATGTAATAGTGTTTCCAGGGTGATATCTTGTTTTCTACAGCAAAACTACTGAACACTTTATTACATTATCAGTTTTTGTGAGCTATAATCAACTTCATCAGTTGCATGAAATAGGAACATGAATTCAGCCCTAATTGGAGGAGAAAAAGAATAATGAGATTAGAAGACATGAACTGGAGAAGACACAAAGCATGCTAATTATTTTGTAAGCAATTCAGTTTTTTATTCTCAATGCAGATTTGTATTGTTATGGACATACTTTGTTAATGAATGCACATAAAGTAAGAGATCAATAATCCCACAAGATGGCAGCATTTAAATTTAAATGTGGGACTACTCTGCAGAAAATATAATTGCATTTAATACCACTAATTCCCAAAACAAAAAGGCAAGGTGTTACACCTTTTCAATCATTTTCTTATTTTCTTATTTGTTGGTTTTATTTAATACAGACACATGGGCATCTATTCGTCAAACAACCAAACAAATGCAATTTAAATATATGCATCAGACACTGGGACACAAATATGTAAGGTGGCAATAGCGTCACCATACATATATCATTATTTTGGTGTCTGCTATGGTGCACTAGAGACTGTTTCAGCACATTTTATTTCTTTCTATTGGTTCAAAGAAAGTTGTAACTACAGAGACTTCAGTAATAAGCTGTAGATAAAAGCTAATTATCAGACAGTAATTCACTACAACAAAATGTAATGCTGTTTCTAAAAACTTGCTTTAGTTTGTGCCATGATTGGATTTCGGTTCAAAAGAATTTTGTATTTATATTTATTAGTTTGTCAAACATGTACAAGACAGCAGGTATAAATATAAACATGGATATGAATGAAGGAAATGAATACAAATAAATGGGGACAGTATTCTTTAAAAAATTGTTTTTCAGGTTATGATTATTTTCTGAAATATATTCCCTAGTAAAGTAATAGTAAAAATAAAATATATCACAGCAACTTATAATAGTTATAATTCTATTCATAATATAATCCCAATTGCAGTATTAATCAACAATCAAAGCCACACAAAAACATAAGAACAACCAAATTGCTTGAAAAGATTTCCATCTCCTAGTTTGAAGACAAGTTTTTTGATGTCTCAAATGCTCACTTTCTTCTCCCTGTATCAGTAAATCTCAGGTTTACAATCCAACTGAACAGAACAATTGAACCAGAGATCAAGGAACATCTGTATTATTTCTTCCTTCTTATTTCTCAATTGGAAATTACTTCCTCTACTGAAAGAATTGGGAACTTGGAACTCTAAAATGTTGCACAACTACAACTCCCAGCAGCCTCAGTGAAGGACATGGACACAGTTTCCTCACTCCTATGGAAGAAAGTTTGGGCTAGTAAAACAAGCAAGATGCGCTAATTTACAGAAAACGGCCTTTCTTTAAGGCAGTGTTCTTTTGTTTAAGTAGAAATCAGAAGAAGAAAGTATTGAAAACAGTATAGGCTGGATTTGTTCAATAATAATAAACACCAAAGAAGAGATTAAGAAAGCATAAAGAATACCTGGTACAATTTTTTCACTTTGAATGAATTTGTCAGCCTCTGTTTTGCTGCTTGTTTTCGGCTGCCATTGAAAGGGGGAGGTGGGCATTGTTTCTGGGTGGGGAAGTGTCAGCACTGGAGAGACTGAATAAAGGGAGGTGTTCTCACCATCTACTG